AGAAAAGACGTATTTCTATGTCAAACCATGGTGTTTTGATCTCTTTTACCCTCGCGTTAGAACCAACCCAATGTAGTATGTTGTTACTATCAATATTAAACAAAATATATCTAACTTCAATATATTATAATTTATAATAATTCTAAAATATAAAATTAAAAATAAAGTCAAAAGTCTAAAGTTATCAAGTCGAAAATCTGTAGAATTTTGATAGTTGACATAAACTGTGATTGAAATATTAAATACGGAAGTATGAAAGGAAGTAAAAGCAATAAGAATTAACGGTAAAGATAGGACTTTCATGAAAAAACAACACAAAAATGTCATGAAAAAAAATCAAAAATGCCCTTAAATCATTAAAAATTCACAAAAAATAAAAATTGAAATCAAGTGTAAAAGTAATAGACAATATTTTAATTTGAAGCTTAATAAAAAAAATAAAAATAAAAATGCATCAGAAGTCAAATCAGTAATCACATACCAACTTCAAATGCACCGCCTTTCTTGCGAAACATACAAATACGCATACGTATGCCTTTTGAACCGCTGCGTTAGTCTGTTACTGCATTTTAACATAAATATATTATTCCAACAATGCTTATTTTAACACAAGGTCATAATTATACAATTTATGGAAATAAAGCCATTTTAATTAAAATATGTCATAAATTGCTAGACTCACTCACCTGGTCAGTTGTCTTCATCCTTGAATTGCACAGCTTCTTGATATTCTACCATGGACTTGTAAGTCAAATAAGCTACAATGTGTGTAAAACTATTGACGCTCACGTTCTGATCCAGTTCGTTAGGACCAATGTTTCGGCTCATTTTTTTTTCAACAAAACCACAAACTGATTTGAAACAAGTAATATACATTTCTAGTTTTTATGAGGGGGTGTACTGCTAATGGGAAAATGTTTTTCCACTACTCCGTTAATATAATTTTAAATACCATCGTATAACAATTGAATTACTTGTCCGAAATTTGATCACTATAATCTCCATAAGTACTCTAAAAAATATTTTGCTTTAAAATATAAAAAAAAAAATAATGAAATAATGATATTGTCTTACATTAAATTTATCACGCCATATAAAATAACTTTAACAACAATTCTTTTCATTTTGTGACCCTAGTTACACTCTATTCATGATAATTAGGCAATTTTAACCCTTGTAATTATAATTTTTGTAAATTTGTCTTTTCAATAGAAATTAGACAAAAATAGTATATTAAAATGATATTTTATCAAAAATACGTTTGTCAAAGATAAAAAATAATGATATATAACAAATAGTATCAAAATATGTTCGATAAACATGTACCTAACGTGTTTAATAAAAGTTAAAAGATTTTAGATACCTAAAAATAAATTAATCACAGCACATTGTTTAATTGAGATGAATGATAACATTCTATTTATACATTACTCTAAGAAATGCAATGAAATAACTAGTCCTATAGTAATTTATTTGAGATCAAAGAAAAACTATGGTTAGGCCCTATAAAAACGGTGTTACAAGATTGAAAGAAACTAATTGTAATATTTACGTAATTAACTAATCCAAATCTTTAATATTGGACTTTAATAAA